TGCCCGCTGCACAATATGCCCCACACACTCAATAAATGCAGGACATTCAGGAACAAACAGCTCGATAAAAGAAAGGCCTTCCTCAAAGAGAAAGGAATCTGTTTTAGGTGCTGTGCCTCGGACTCTCATCTCGCTAAGGACTGCAAATCCACAGTAAAGTGCTCCGACTGTGAAAGTACAAGCCACGAAACAGTAATGCATCCTGGTCCTCCACCTCAAACCATCAAGGCTCCTGCTCCCGCTCAAGAGGATGGCGGGGAAGGAAAAGACATCTCAGGCAGCATCGCAGTAACCACAACATGTACCAAAGTGTGCAGTCCAGGTCAGTGGGGTCGTTCTTGTTCAAAAATTTGTCTTGCAAAGGTGTATCCAGAGGGTCACCAGGACAGTGCGGTTAAGGCTTACGTCATACTCGATGATCAGAGCAATCGATCCTTAGCAAGGCCAGAGTTCTTCGATCTGTTCAACATTAAACACAGACTAGTCAGTTATGATCTAAGAACATGTTCAGGCCTCGTTGAAACACGGGGGAAAATGGCTGAAGGCTTTTACATTGAGTCTTTAGATGGGTCTGCGGTAATCCCACTTCCTCCTCTCATTGAATGTCAGGACATTCCTAATGAAAGAAGCGAGATCCCAACTCCAAACGCTGCACGACACCAGCCACACCTTCGGTCCATAGCAAAGTACATTCCAGAGCTAGACCATAATGCAGAAATACTTCTACTGCTAGGACGAGATGTTCTACGTGCACACAAAGTAAGGGAACAAGTTAATGGCCCTCATCATGCGCCCTTCGCCCAGCGCCTAGATTTAGGGTGGGTCGTAGTCGGGGAGGTGTGTGTAGGCAAGGTCCACAAGCCCATAGTCAACTCATTCAAAACAATTATTCTTGAAAATGGCCGCCCCACAGTTTTTGGACAGTGTGATAACTTCCGTCAGCTCAAGGAAACGCCACACAGTAACAGGCACACTAAGGCTCCAGAGAAAAGTCTGGGACAATCAGTTTTCAACCGCAGCAAAAGTGACAATGAGCCAGCTCCCTCCATAGAAGACACACTCTTTTTAAAGATCATGGATGAAAGTATGTACAGAGACGATGGCAATAGCTGGGTCGCCCCACTTCCTTTCAGAGAGCCTCGCCGGAAGATGCCTAACAATAGAGAGCTAGCAGTCAGACGTTTTTTGTCTCTCAAGCGGAGTATGCAAAAGAAACCCCACATGCAGCAGCAATACGTGGAGTTTATGGGAGGGATTTTCTCCAGCGGTCACGCTGAGATAGCACCCGCACTTAAGCAAGAAGAAGAATGCTGGTACCTCCCCACGTTTGGGGTCTACCACCCTCAAAAACCCAACAAGATCAGGGTAGTTTTTGATTCTAGTGCCCAGGAGGATGGTGTCTCACTCAATAGTGTACTCCTCACTGGCCCCGACTTAAACAATAGTCTCATAGGGGTACTCCTCCGCTTCCGTAAAGAAAGCATTGCTGTTATGGCTGACATACAGCAGATGTTTCACTGCTTCGTAGTGCGTGAGGATCACCGGGACTATCTTCGCTTTCTGTGGCACAAGGACAATGATGTTGAGAAGGAGGTCATTGATTATAGAATGAAGGTCCATGTGTTTGGGAACTCTCCATCTCCCGCTGTGGCTGTTTACGGTCTGCGCAAGGCCATCGAAGCTGGAGCGAAAGACTATGGGGCCGACACTGTCAAGTTTGTGAAGAGACACTTCTACGTCGATGATGGTCTGATTTCTGTGCCTTCTCCAGCCGAAGCTATCGGCTTGCTCCAAAGAACGCAAGCTTCACTTGCTGAGTCCAATCTGCGCCTGCATAAGTTTGCGTCTAATTCACCTGCAACCATGCAAGCCTTCTCTCCTGAAGATTGTGCAGCAGTCCTGAAAGATCTGGATCTGAGTGGTGAGGAAGCACAATCACAGCGCAGTCTAGGCCTAATTTGGGAAACCATAACAGACACATTCACATTTTCAGTGGCAACAACAAACAAGCCATTTACTCGCCGAGGTGTCTTGTCATCTGTTAATAGTGTCTTCGATCCACTAGGCTTATTAGCACCAGTCACCATTCAAGGAAGAGCTCTACTCGGAGAACTCACCTCAGAAAACTCTGATTGGGACACACCTCTTCCAGAAGAAAAGCAGAGCAAATGGGAAGCTTGGAGGGATTCGCTGCAGAACTTAAGGGAACGCCATGTCCCTAGAATGTACACATCTACCACTCTCAGTCAGGCAAAGCGCAAAGAACTCTACGTCTTTTCAGACGCATCGACCAAAGCAATAGGTGCAGTAGCCTACTTGAGAGCTCTGTATGCTAATGACAAAGTTGAGGTGGGGTTTGTCATGGGTAAAGCAAAACTAACTCCTCAGTCAGAGCCCGCTATACCAAGATTGGAACTGTGCGCCGCTGTCTTGGCTGTAGAGATAGCTGATCTCGTCAGGAATGAGCTGGACATAGAGTTTGACGCTGTTCACTTCCACACAGACAGCAAGGTGGTCTTGGGCTACATCTGTAATGAATCAAAAAGATTCTACACATATGTTCACAACAGAGTGCAGCGTATTCGCCAGTCTTCAAAGCCGGAGCAGTGGCACTATGTGCGCACCGAGGAAAACCCAGCGGATCACGCATCACGCTCGCTCACAGCAGCTCAACTATCAAAAACTACTTGGTTCACTGGACCTTCCTTCATCCGTCGTTCACCCCCAGAGGCAAAAAATGATAACAACTATTTTGAGTTAGTTGAGCCTGACAAAGACTGTGAAATCAGGCCACAAGTGAGAACTTGTTCCACTCACCTTCAAGTAGTCTCCTGCAAGCGCTTTGAGCGCTTTTCCACCTTCAAGTCTTTGGTCCGTGGAGTCGCCTTCCTTATTCACATGGCAAAATCTTTCAATGGCTCCAATTCAAACCATGGATGCAAAGGGTGGCACATATGTCAGTTTCCTCGTACACCAGATGAAATGGATCAAGCAAAGCGTGTCATCCTTCAACAAGTGCAACAGGCCACCTTTGCAAAGGAGCTGTCTGCCCTCAATGCTGGCAAATCCATCGCAAAACAAAGCCCTTTGCAAAAGCTCAGCCCAGTCCTGGACAGCGGCATCATTTCAGTTGGAGGTCGTCTCAAACACTCAGAGCTTGAGAACTCTGAAAAATACCCGATAATTCTCCCAAAAGACAGTCATGTTTCTATCCTGCTCACTCGCCACTACCATGAACAGGTCAAGCACCAGGGTCGTCACCTAACAGAGGGTGCAATAAGGGCTGGAGGTCTGTGGATAATCGGTGGAAAGAGACTAGTTAATTCAGTTATCCATAAGTGTGTTATCTGTCGCAAACTGCGTGGAAAGCAGGAAGAGCAACTCATGGCAGACCTTCCCCCGGAACGTTTGAAAACATGTCCTTCCTTTAGCTATGTCGGCCTTGATGTTTTCGGGCCTTGGACAGTAACCACCAGACGTACCAGAGGTGGTCAAGCACAGAGTAAGCGTTGGGCCATCCTGTTTACCTGCATGAGCTCAAGAGCCGTGCACATTGAGGTGATTGAGTCCTTAGACACCAGCAGTTGCGTAAATGCCCTCAGACGCTTCTTTGCCTTGAGAGGCCCTGCCAAAAAACTTATATCGGATTGTGGCAAAATAAAAAAAAAAAGGAATGGACAAAGCTCTGCAACTATACCTCAATGATCAAGGTTGCAGTTGGGAATTTAATCCGCCTCATGCGTCCCACATGGGAGGCTCCTGGGAGCGCATGATCGGCATTGCACGGAGAATATTGGATTCAATGCTGCTTCAAAGTAAGATGCAACTCACTCACGAGGTATTGTGCACACTTATGGCTGAAGTGTCAGCAATCATAAACGCCAGGCCACTCCTTCCAGTTTCATCCGATCCAGTCAATCCCTTCATTCTCTCTCCCTCCATGCTGCTAACCCAGAAATCGTGCCTTACTCCTCCTCCTGGAGATTTCTTGGATAAGGACCTTTACGCCAAGCAATGGAGACAAGTTCAGGCTCTTGCCAATCAGTTCTGGACACGCTGGAGGCGAGAGTACCTGCCTTTATTGCAGCAGAGGCAGAAATGGACTGTATCTTGTCGAAATCTGCAAGTTGGTGACCTTGTTTTGCTTAAGGACAAGCAGGTTCCACGGAACAGCTGGCTCATGAGTAGAGTCACGGCAACTTTCCCTGGGAAGGACAATCTAGTAAGGAAGGTCGAGGTCACAGTAAATGACCAAGGCACTCGAAAGACCTTTTTGCGACCAGTTACTGAAGTCATTCTTCTTTTGCCAAAGGACTGAATCCCGCTAAGGTTTTGTTGTTGGTAGTGTCCTCTCTGAGGTCAGGCGGGGAATGTGTTGTTCTTAAGACAGTTAATAATTTAGTAAATAAGTTAAATGTTTAAAAAGCATTTCTAAATGTTTCTTAAAAGTATTTCATGTTTATTTGTAAGTTTTATTTAAAAAATATTAGCGGACAATTTCACCTCCGGTTCTGCCGCGCTAACCCGGTTCTGCCGCGCTAACGCGCTATCGGTTTCATGTAAACAGAGCAGGCGAAATCCAGCATGATACGATCCGCTATCTGTCGCCATTCTCATTAAAGCACTGTCAAGGCAATGCCGTAAGTTTATAAATATGTTTATACAGATCTTAAGCAATGTATTTTTGTATTGTTTAGTTGAGAAATGCATTTAAAGCGCCAATGTATGACTTTATTTTCGTCTGTGTAGAGATTCGTTTTTCTAAGAGCATATTGTGTATGCTTTCAGTTTTCACCATCTGGAGAAGAAATTAAAATGCAAAAACGTCCTTTGTGGTCCTGGTCTTCTTCAGTGGTTTATCTACGTGTTCATTTGGAAACATAAAAATATGCTGCTAACCTCTAGTTTATTGATTTGGTTTAAAAAAAACAATATCATAATCAATATTTTAATCAAAGGATGTAGTTTGCTAATTTGTCTAATTTAGTGCGTTTATGTGATTGCAGGACAATTTGGGTGCAGGAGATAATATTGACGCTATTTTAGAGACCCTGGAGAAGAGTAAAAGCCTGTCGCATCAGAGCGCAGACAACAGCGCCTCTGAACACAGACCTGTGTTGTATGTGGAACACAGGTGAGATGCATTCATTTCATAATTCTGTTCCATTTATATGTAATAAGACAAATATTTAATCTCAAATGATCTCTTTTTCTTCTGGGTCGCAAAGGAATCTGAATCCAGAGACAGAGTTGAAGAAGTATTTTGGAGCACGGGCCGTTCTGGGAGACCAGAGGTAATTTTAAAATACTATTTTTAGTTTTGCTATTTTTTCTTTTCAGTTTATTTTTCCTTATTTGCACTTTATCTAGTATCTGAGTTTATAAGTTTAATTTGTGCTTTGCCACATAAAAATTCACAGTTCACTTAAAAATTGTCCAAAGAGTATATCTGCAACAGATGGTATGTTATGCATGTTGTTTATCATTAGCTGATTTTGAGATATTGGGACACTTTTTTTTTTTGAGAAACTGCAAAAGGAAATGGTCAACTGATAATGATTTTTTTGTTTTGTTTGATGGCCGATGCCAACAGGGTGGCCGATATGTATATCATATTTATTTTAAAGATAGTAAAAGCACATGCATGACAGTTGCTGAAATTAAACGTATATCTATTTACATAATATTTACGAAATTAGAAATAAATAATCAAGAAGTTGCCATCTAAGGTATGAATCTGTTTATTTTACAGAATGTTCAAATAATTATTTTGGAAATGATTTAATCCTATTATAGCATTTTTTGCAAAATAGAAATTAAAATGGAATAAGAAAAAAGTAAGCTAGCACTGTAACCAACCAAGTCTGTTTACACTGGAAATTATATATATATATATATATATATATATATATATATATATATATATATATAATCTTTCAAATAAAGAAGGTAGTGCTAATTTTACATACAGTACACAGTGAGTGATATGAATGAATTTTTTTACTGAATGACTAAGAGGCGTTCGTTGTTGTGAATTTTTTGATGCCTCAGCGGATATTTTTGATGGTGCTAAGTACGTCAAAGCCTGAGCAGACAGCGCTCCCATTCTCTATCTTCATTAGATTACGATCTGTTTTACTGTCCTATGTAATACATTATTAGATTGTTATAGACCATTTTGCAAGATGTAAACAACACTGGTCCAGAAGCACTTCCTGTTTCAGTTTTTTAACACTACATAAAAGCTGAGATAAAATACAACCAACAGAACATATAAAACTGAAAGCAAAGTTTATTTGTGGTTGATGTCTAATGTTACTTTCTGAGCAGAAAAACATACATCACATTGGATTTTGTGTGTATGTATGTATGTACAGGCACACTAGTATTTTCGCCTAAAAAAGAAATGGTTTTAAGCCAGTTATTTATATATTTTGTTGTAGTGTCTCAGTAGGAAATATAAGTTTACATTTCCAGACATTAAAGGGCACCTATTATGCCCCTTTTTACAAGATGTAATATTGGTCTCAGGTGTCCCCAGAAAGTATTTGTGAAGTTTCAGCTCAAAATACCCCACAGTTAATTTATTATAACCATTTGAAAATGTAATTTTGGGGCCTCTTTAAAAATGAGCTGTTTTGGAGGTATACCACCTTAATGCAAATGAGCTGCATATCCCCGCCCTGCCTTTGGATGAGGGCGTAACTTGATACCTATTGGCAGTCACTCTAAGCAGACGGGCTGAGAGACGTTTTGAATGTCATTCAGCATACGTTTGAATCGGAATATATAAATAGTACGAAGAGACTCCGGCAGAATAAACACAAATGAGAATGGACCAGTACGTCTCGGTATGGTTATTTGATACATTTATGTATAGAGTTGTAATCGCGTCCCATTTGCAATTATGGATGTGCAACACACACACACAGACATACACAAACACTAACGCTGGCGCTAACGCTGGCTTTTTTGAAACTACATACACATACCCTAACCCTAACCCATACTGTGATAAAGTTTGCTATGTACAAGCGAAATACATTTATACGAGGGACCTGTTGCGTCATGTTTAGCTTGTCATACAAGTGCTTCTGTGTCAAATGTGAGAAGATGGCTAACTTACAGGACAACAACATATGCAGTTTTTAATACAATATCTTTAAATATATATACAGTATATAGCCTATATATATATATATATATATATATATATATATATATATATATATATATATATATATTATAAAATGTACGGTTACACACTATACAAACAAGGTTTAAATTATATAAACAGACATCCTAGGACGACGACGACGACAACAACTTTAGACGCATTTTTTGTTGAATTAGCTGACATCGACTGAATAGACTAGTTATTTGCTCAAAATTCATAAAATACACTTACTGTTACTGGATGTGTCATAGGGGTGCACGATATTGACAAAAATGTGATATTGCGATATCGATAATGAATATTGCGATATCGATATTAATTTCGATATTTTTAAAAAGTTATTGGAAAACGCATCAAAAAGATTAATAAATAAAACAAGTTTTCTTACAACATAAGATTTATTTCAACTGACAGTCATATTGGACTGGTACAGCATTAATAAATAGGCCTAAATAATATGTCAACAGAACAGGACATGTTAGTTGTGTACACTACACTGTAAAAGATAATAAATAAAGTCTACAGAACACACTATGCAACATAAACCCCACTATATGCGTTTTCTTTGACCGAATAGCTATCTGATCGTGAAAAGACCAGGTGTAAATGCCCTGTGAAACGCATTCGTGACGTATTTGAATCTAATCGCTCAAACCACTTCAGGAGGCGGTCTGGGCCGCATTTCAGACTGCGTGACACGGTCTCAATTTGCGGGACGCATGAATTGGGCTTCAAACGCTGTGCGCGCACGCGCTACGCGGGACGGGTGGTCACCCTAATTTCAGTTGAAACTGGACAAATGTAAATGCATCTCGTTATTGAATAAACCACATATGTAAAATGTACTCCTTCCAAAAACGCTAAAAATGAGAACGTTACAGGCTTGTCATGTTATGGCCAGATATGACGACGCGCGCGACTGCAACACGCATCACCGCAGATGAGCAGTTGTTGAACATTTCCTTTTCATCAAGCCAACGCGCAAACTATCGCAAATCAAAGTGAAAGTAAGTCGCAGACGCTTTTCACAGTTATCTTCATTAAAAGTAAATAAACGAACTGATCTTATTTTACCTGATGATCATAAAACGCAGCTCATAACTGTTGACGTGACGGTGACGTGCACTCCATTAAATCTGCATATAGCACGGGAATTGAAGATCGTATTTTGATAAATCAGATAGCTATCCGATCAGTGAAAACGCATGAAGTTGCCAGGTGGACCGTGGCCTGATGTTTATAGGCTACTTGTGCGCTGGTGTGCGCGTCGAGCCGGGGCAAGACAAGTGTGTGTGTGTGTGTGTGTGTGTGTGGGACTGTGTGGTAGGAGAGCAAGGGAGAAGTGAGAGAGTGACGGCGGTTAGCTTTGGAGCGAGTAGCGACTTTATATTGAGAAAAACAAAGTGTCTCTCCTGTTCTTTCTGACCACTGTGGGAAATCTGTAGCATGAAAAGTTAAACCTCTCTTGATTTAATATTGTTTATGGAGAAGGAGAATCAGGAAATGATTCGGGGGGAAATGCAACGGTGCATGTCGGAACAGACGCATCATAAACAAAATATTGCATAAATATCGCGACACTTTCGATATTGATATCGAGCAACGTGATATCGCGATAACGATATTGATTCGATATATCGTGCACCCCTAATGTGTCGGTGGATCGCAAACAGTAGACGACGATCCACACTTGAGGATTAACTTTTAAGCCACAACAACAGGATTAACCCACGAGTCCACGACAGAACATTTATGTTTCCAATATTACCGGCTGTCGTTGAAACAATGGAGGATGGTGTGTACAGATCACTGAGGGCGGGGTCTATGCCACAACCACACTGTCAATCAAACCCCTTTCTCACTTTCTACGTCACAAAGAGCTGAATCTCAGAACAGCTCGTTCTGAGACAGTGGATATGATTTATTGAGATTGTAAAAAAAATACTGTTTGAAAAATACTTCAAACACCATGTAAAAGTAAATTTTCCATAATAGGTGCCCTTTAATTGTGCCATTAATTGTAATAATCCAGTGAAATTTTTGAATGCACAAGGATTCTGACATTGCTCCACACGGAGGTCGGATCTCACCATCATCGAGTGCATCTGAAATTATATGAAGAAACAGAAAAAACAGAGACTTAAGACCAGAAGAACTGCGGCAACATCTCGAAGATAGTGCCTGCCTGCCTGCAAAGCTACAGTACTGTGAAAAAGTTTAAGGCACTTGTGTAAAAATCCTGTAAATGAGAATGTTTTAAAAAATAATGTCAATCATAAATAGATTTTATTTATCAATTCACTTTTATTAGTTAACTATTATTAACTGTTATTAACTTTTAACAGTTAACTAAATCAAATCGCCCGTGACCTTTTGAACGTAATTACGTAATACGTGACGTTGCAAACGCGCCTCACAGAATAGAGCAAGGCTAGCATTTGTCCTTAGAAAAGTTACATTTTTGGAATAAGTTTTGAAATAACCGATCGTTTCGCATGATAAGACCCTTATTCATCGTCTGATATCGTTTAAAGACATTTGAAGCTGCATCTGAAACAGTTATTAACTGTCTTTTGGACCTTGAACCATCCGGTTCCCATTGAAGTCCATTATATGGAGAAAAATCCTGGAATGTTTTCATCAAAAACCTAAATTTCTTTTCTACTGAGGAAAGAAAGACATGGACATCTTGGATGACATGGGGGTGAGTAAATTATCAGCAAAAGTTTTTTCAAAAGTGAACTAATCCTTTAATCTGGCCCAAACTTAACTTCCGGCAGACTTGCGGAGACAATCCATAACAAGTAAATAACCTAGTAGCTGGTATTTCTTGCCAGTCAAAGAAAATAAATGTTACCTGGCCAAACTGAAATGTGACACTACCAGATCCGTTGAACAAAAATTAGAGACAAGATGTTTTTCTACCGACGTGTCTGATTTACCGCAGTGTTAAAAAAAACTGTGGCGAGCGCGACGGCGGGGTTTGATAAGGTTAACATAGCTCTCCTTATTAGCTAGGCTTCTTACATGCTTGCTAACCTTTTTTTAAGGTGGGTCTCCACATTGACAGCATGTTGGATGGATCTGTGCAGCGATGTTTATGATACTAACCATTCA